CAAGAGCTGGGATTACAAATGTGCACCACCGTGCCCAGTCTCAATTGCCATCTCAGCGTGCCCTGGGGTGGGGCCGGCACAGCAGGCCTGGGGATCAAACCTCTGGCCCCTGTGCCCACTTGCAGGTGCTTTAATCCACTGAGCTATTTGGCCGGCCCTTTGTTTATTCTTTCAAAATAAATAAATGCATATTTTTTCCAACTTCCAAAAGAATTGTATTACCAGTTTGTTTGGGATACTATGAAGCCAGTTAAGTTAATGAAAGTGTTAACATTTCTGAGCTGTTAGGGCTTTGAGGGCAAGTGTCTGCACTGTGCAGATCTTCCTTCCCTCCTGCTCAGGTGAGGGGGTGGCCAACGGCACCCAGACAACCTGGGGAGGGAGCTTTGGGAGGCAGGTTAAACAGTTCTGGCTTGAATGCTGGCAAGGTAATTGGAACAGGAGGCAGAGTGAGTTCTGAGCCAGCTCTGGCATCTTCCAGGAATCCTTGATTTTTTTCACTGCACTGGATGGTTGTATGCTGAGAGAACAAATCTTGCGAAAGCAGAAAATAAACTGATTTAGTACATTTGCCAGACAGGAGAATTATGCCCGGGCCCTGGAGCCAGCGATCACGGGCAGAGGGGCAAATAGAGAACAGAAATACGCTTTATGACAATAGCTTGCTAGGGGTGTGAATGTAGGCTAAAGGACACTTGACTGAGATACGGGGTCTGAAATCAGCAGGCTCTCACACACGGGGGAGTGGCTTTCTTTTCTTAATGGAGCATTTTCATATGAAGAGTTCTCATTGAAAGACTTGGAAAGTCTGCACTGACCCAGATTTCCATGTGGTATCTACTAGGTTCTTCCAGGAGTTGCATGGTTTTAAAAGATCCTAATATGTTAAACACACACACACACACACACACACACACACACACACACACAGACTAAAACTTCCATGTCTAAACCCAAGAGACATAATTATAGGATAAAATGAAGAAATGAAAATTCAAAGGGATGGATGGTTCGGGAAAGTAGAATAGGGAAGAAAAAGCATCAAAAGTAGCCCAAAGACATGATCTGGAATTGGGGTGACATCTCTAAAGATGGTACTTTCCAAACAGGTTCTTTGGATCTTGTGTGGCCAGGACTCTTGGGGTGGCAAATGCTCTTATACTGTGGATTGCTTAGCAAGCAGGATGACCCAGGGCACCTCTGCTCCTCTTGGCAGTGAACTCTAATTAGAGACAATTTCAAGCTGTTGGTGACCTTGACTCTACGCATTTGAAAAGTAATTGATTAATGGAGTTAATAGATTTTGTTCTTAATTCCTTTTCTTCTGATTATAAATTCTTTTTTTGTGTTTCATACTTTGTTGTAGTCTGAGATAGGTGCAGTTTAACTTTTTATTTTAGATAGAGTCTTGCTATATATACCCATGGCTGGCCTTGAACTCTCTGTAGGCCAGCTTGGCTTTAAACTCATAATCCTCCTGCCTCAGACTCCTGAGTGTTAGGAATTCACCAGATTGTCCTCACTGAACATTGTTACAGACTTAAAATTCTTTAATTGGATGGATTTTACATAGGACTTCAGCTGGATGTCTGTTTCTCACATAGCGTGATGGAAGAGAGGGCAGAAAATGGCATTCAGGTACCCCAGCTCCTCAAGGGGGCCCCAACAGGACCCACAGTGACAGAGCCCGCCAGAGTGCAGCTACTCCATTTTCTCCAAAGGAGTTCAACAAATTATCTTCCTGACATACCTCCCACTAGATAACCACTTACCCAGAAGTTATCCACAGCCTCCCTACCTTAAAGCCAGAAGTGGTATAACCAACTGACCTCACTGTTAGTTCCAACTACCATTTCCTGTGAGGCTTTGGAGAGGGAAGGAAAAAATCTGAAGCTCTGCCTGGTAGCCATGTTATGGCCAGGGATCCTCACCTCCTGGTGTACACATCTTTGCGTGATCTCCTCCTTCCACCCTGTGCTGGGGCTTGTTCTGTGCACAGTAGCAAATAACAGACATGCAAGAGGTCACAACCATGTTGTGAGGTTTCTTGGGCAGCCCACAGCTAGACTCACAGGAAAAGGAAGTAAAGCCTATAGCTAGGGGACAACTGAGGCCTGATGACAGCTGTCTTAGTCTCTTTCCTCTTTGCTGGGACAAGATGCCTAACACCTGCAACTTAAAGAAGGAGAGATTTAAGCACCAGCTTAGGCAGATGCAGGGGCTGGGGGTTTGGTCCCCAGCCTGCTGCGCCAGCCCTGTTCCCCGGGCACGCTGAGAAGGCTATTGAGACTGGGCATGGTGGTGCATATCTGTAATCCCTGCGCTTGGGAGGCTGAAAACAGGAGGATCACTATGAGTCCAATCTACATAGTGAGACCCTATAGACCCTGAAGACCTGGTACTAAATACAGAAAAATCAGAGAGATTTATCTTGGCTGATATAATGGTGGGGTCCAAGTAGGAAGGCAGGGCAAAAGGGTGTGGGTGGAAGAAAGAGGTTCCAACCATGGCAGCCAGGGAGCAGAGAGGAGAGCTGAGGAAGAGGGAGATGTTGTAGACCATTCTAGGTCACTCCCTCCTACCCCACACCAGTGACTGTTTCTGCTCTCTACAGCACATTAGCTATGGCATCCATGGCCCAGTCACATTTCAAAAGCCCCACCCCTGAGATCTTGAGGATCTTGGTGGACATCCACATATGAACCGTAACAATGACCATGAGTGAGAGCTTGTAGGCACATGCTCCCTTGGTTGACCCCTCAGAGGAGAATGCAGTTCTGGCTGGCAGTTTAGCTCCAACCTCATGACAGGCCTTGATGTAGGTATGGCCCTACTCAGTCACACGAAGATTCCTGGTCTTCAAAAATTCTGAAATAATACATAGGGGCAGCTCAGGGGTTAAACAGGAGTTAATGACTTTATGATTTCTTCTTTTGACTAGAAATAAATTAAGTCAGGAAAACATGCCAAGTCTACCCTGACACATCAACTTGTTTATCTTGTACCCCAGGCTATTTTCTAGGTTCCTAGATTATCAAAAGAATCTGTGGAATTGAGTTAAATCCACTGATTTCTAGACTGTGTCCCTTGGTTTGGAGTGGATTCCACACAGAGGTACGTTTTACTGGCATCCAAGACATTTTTTTTTTTTTTAATCATCAGGCAAGTTTGTGAAACTGCAGAATAGGATGTGAAACAGAAGGGGACCTGGCTCTTACCCCAGGAAAAGGGCAAGATAGAGAATTGGCATGCAGAAGTGCATTTGAAGAGAAGAGATAAGGAAGACGTGAGAGTCGGCAGGAGAATTGAGGTATGCTTCCTTAAAGGAAACAATACAGGAGCCATGTCTCAAGGACTGGTGAGGGTCTCACACAGAAAGACAGGAATCAGGTACTGTCAGTCACAGCTGGTGTTTCCCAGGTGCTGGCTGGTGCCAGGCACTGTGCCAAGCACTTTATCCGTCTTACTTATTTAATCCTCATAATAACCATAGGATGTAGGAGCTGTTGTCATCCCTAGCTTATAAGTGAGGAAAGTTGGGGTTTGGTTCCCATATTGCCCAATCACATATCTCATGCACATGCATAAAGGGGCAGCTGACTCCACATTCCAAGCTCTTTACCACAATTCTGTTCCATGTCCCAGGGCAGGAGACTCAGAGATATGAAAGTGCAAGGACATTTTTGCAAATGGCAGGAGTTTATGCAAATGAACAAAGAAGTTGTCCAGAGAGCCAGAGCAAGATAGTGTCTGAGGCACTGGAACCCCCAGCAGTTTCCTAATGTAAGTTCTACTCACTGATTTTGTTAATGAAGAAACAGAGCCTCAGAGAAGACAAGTGACTGTCATATAATTCAACTGTGGCAAAGACACCCACAGCCCCAGATTCTGGGCAGCATTTTTTCCATTATGGACACCTGGCGGCCAATCATGGAAGTCACTGGATAGATCCCTAACTAAGGAGTTCTGAGCTACTCTATAGGAGAGAGATTTGGGTAAAATACATAACAACATTCATCACTTTAAGTGCCCAGTGCAGTGACATTAAGGACAATCACAAAGCTGCTTAACATCATCCGATCCATTTGCAGGACTTTGTCATCAGATACATTTACTTTTTTTGAGGAAACATCATATTGTCTTCCACAATAAGAGTCCTATCAACATTGCCTAAGGGTTCCAGTTTCTCCACAGCTTCACCAAAACTTGGTGTATCTTATTCCTTTAAAAGAAATTGTTTTCTTTTTATGTATTTATTGGATAAAGGGTCTCCCTATGCAGTTCTGACTCATAGTGATCCTCTTGTCTCAACCTCCCCAGCATGTATGCGCTACCACGCCCAGTTTTGGCATGCCTGGAGCCGGCGCAGCATGTGGTGTCAGGGATTGAACTCAGGTCTTTGTGCTTGCCGGCCATGTAGGTGCTCAGTCTGCCAACTGGAATTTATTCCTTTTTAATGCTGAATAATACCTGATTATATATGTGTCATATACATTGTTTATCCATTACTCAGTTGATTGACATTTGGGTAACTTCTGTCTTTTGGTTATTTTGTATAATGCTGCTATGAACACTGGTTACACATAATCTTAATCCCTGCTTTTGATTGTTCTGAGCTAGGTGCCTTGAAATGTAATTGCTGATTATAGGGTAATTCTATGTTTAGCATTTTGAAGAATTCATAGTCGTTTATAGGAAATCTATGTTGTGCAAGTCAGCTCTGGTCATCCTAACCTGAAACAATGTGTGTGTGTGTGTGTGTGTGTGTGTGTGTGTGTGTGTGTGTACACGCATGTATAGGGGAGAGAGCCCTTTCTCTCTCGCTGCAAACGCCGCCTCCAGAGAGCACTCTCCGAGCCTGTCTCCAGCAGAGGTGCAGGCGGCTAACAGTGGACAGTCGGGTGTGAGGTTGGCCTGGCCCAAGGGGCTGCAGCGTGGGCCATCTCAGTGTGCCCTGGGCGGGCAGTGTTGTGGGCAGCAGGGAGTCTCCTCCGGGCGCTTTGGAAGCTCGCTGCTCAGCTGGGCCGTGTCCGCCCACTCTGGCGGCGGCGCTGGACCGGCCAGGTGAGCGACCGAGGAGTCCACAGCCTGGGGCATAGCCAGCCGTCCGGCCAGGGCACTGCCTGCGGGCTGGGCGCTCAGCCCTCCCCTCCCCGCCCAGGCCACAGTTCCGGAGTCCGGGCAGGGGACGCGCCTCCCGCCTGCCCGCCGGCTCCCTTGGATTCCGCAAACCCAGCGGCACGGGACGACCCGGCTCTCTGACTAAGCCTTGGTGAGTCGCGAGGAGCCTGGCCTCGCCTCTTGAAGCCTCGAGCATCCCGTGGCCATTGGGGGGCAGGGACAGCGCGAGAGGGGCGGCCCCGAGCCGAGCCGGGGTGGCTCCGGCGCCCAGCTGCCTCTCTTTGCTTTGGCAGCTCGCTCCCCAGCCTCGGAAAGAGCTTCAGGAAGGAGAAAGAGACCGGAACCTCCAGGGAGAAACATCCTTGTCCCCAGCCCTGCGATGAAGACTGCGGGGTGCTGAGGCAGCAGGTACTGAGCTTCCCTCCGGGAAGTCGCTCCACAGACTCCCAGCGCCCCAAGGCTGCTGGGGAGCAGAGGGAGTGCGGGCTTCTGAATGGGGAGGGGGCTCTTCCAGGGACCCCAAAGAGGGCATCTCTCAGGACAGCCAGGCTACGCCCTCTTTCTTGTCCTTCGGTATAGTTGTCCAGGCTTCCAGAAGGAAAAAAAAAAAAAAAAAAAAAAAAAAAGAAGAAGAAGAAGAGGAAAGAAAGTTTTAAGTAAGAGAGTGCTGGAAGTAGGATATATTGGAGGTGGGCAGGGGCTAGAAAGACCCGTCCAGCGATGCAGATGACAGCGCAGGGGGATGGAATATAGGGCATGGGATTCCTCCTTGAAAGCAGAGAGTACAGCAGGAAAGACTAGAACAATTTTCCTTACAATCCTTAGTCTTCTAGCCTGTCTCACCACCCCAGAAGTTTCTATATTCTTGGTTTTAAATCCTGGCTGTGAGCCTTCCTAGTGGTGTGCTTGGTGGGTGCCCTCAGGGGTGGGGTGTCCTGACACACAGGGCCTGCAGGGGGCCAGTCAGGTCTCACTGAGTTCTCAAGCCTTGACCCCCTTTGGCTCTTCAGCTCCCATCCTTTTTTTTTTTTTTTTTTTTTTTACTCCAGATGGGAACAGAAGTCAGTCGGCTTGCTGGACAGGACTGAGAGCTCAGAGGAGGGACAGAATCCAGATGAGGTGCTGGGTCTATAACCTGGCCTCCTACAGACAGGCTCTGGGGCCTTTCCTTGAGGAGCTTGGGCAACAGGCTTTCTTGGAAGGTCTCGGGCATCATCCTTGTGTCTTCTTTTTTCCAGGAACTCAGGATTGCCATTCTTCTCCCTCTTATTCTCTTGATAGTTATGGTACATTCCAGACCCCAAGCCTTCTCTTATGTCCAGCTCCCTGGTCTGAAGTCTTCAGGCTTTGAGAAGGGCTCTGCAGGGGAGGGGACCCTGGTTACCTTTCTGTCCTTGCCAGTGTTCCTTACAAACCCTGTAACCATCCCCATTATGTGGTGTGGTGGTCTCAGGGCCAGGGTTTCCTTCTCCTTCCCCTTCCCTGCAGCTAGTTGGCCTAGCACTCAGAATTCCTTGCATTCTGGGGTGTAACACTGTCCCTCTCCAGGGAGCTCTGTGCTTTACAGACAGTATTGATCTCTTTCCTGGAGGATGTTGAAACTGAGTGTTTAAGCTGTTTACCTCAGGACACACAACCCCTGAGGAAGAACTCCACTCTCAGGTCCCCTCTCTAATGTCTTCAGTGGGTGATAGGCTGAGACCTTGCCACCAAAAACTTTGCTTGGGGGGGACAGGCCTTGGGAGACACTGTGCCTTGCTTCTAGGATCACAGCAGATTTTGATGTGGGAAAGGAAGCTGGGTGAGGATGGGGAAGGTAGCTGCTACATGGTCTCATAATTTTATATCTGTGTTTTCCCAGAAGATCAGCAAGTGGGGAGCAAATAGATTATCTGAAAGTCATCCCTCTGCTGTGGATTTCAGAATAATTTTTTTAGGCACTAGAAAAGAATTACTGCTGCCACAGAATGGGGATGTTCACCTAGGATGTATTTCAGATAGGACAGTCGAAGGAGTTCAGGACAGGTCCCTGCTGTCTTCAGCCTTCCCACACTCTCACCTGTGGTCCTCGAGGAAAAGTACATTTGGTGGAATGGAAATAGATAGAGTCAGGGCCTGACTGTCTCTGTAGCAGTCCAGCCTCCCTCAGTCAAGTGCATCTGTGGTTTCCATTTGTTTACTTCCTGTCTGCTTATTTCCACTCCATCACCCCACATTCACTCTGAGCAGGTGGCTAATGGATCTGCTTAGGCTACAGGATGATTTTAAATTCATCCAGGTTCATTCAACATGGAGCCAACTGTTTGTGTGTCTTTCAAAGGCTTAGAGTGGAGCTGGGATACTGTGCCCCAAGGATGCTGGCGGGAACCTGACTTGTTAAGGGAGAGCTCAGTGTCAGCACAGAGGAAAACATCAGTTGTATAGACATTGCTCCTGCAGATTTCCCAGCAGTGTCACTCACAGCACCACCAGGCCAGATGGAGATCACTGTGGGGATCACGGAAGGAAACACTACCAATTCCTCCACTACCTTCCTTTCTCTACTCGACTCCCATGGAGCACAAGCTGTTTCCCTGCCATTCAACTTTAGCTATGGTGACTATGACATGCCTTTGGATGAAGAGGAGGATGTGACAAATTCCCGGACTTTCTTTGCTGCCAAGATCGTCATTGGCATGGCCCTGGTGGGCATCATGCTGGTCTGTGGTGTTGGCAACTTCATCTTTATCGCTGCCCTGGCCCGCTACAAGAAGCTGCGCAACCTCACCAACCTGCTCATTGCCAACCTGGCCATCTCTGACTTCCTCGTGGCCATTGTCTGTTGTCCCTTTGAGATGGACTATTACGTGGTGCGCCAGCTGTCCTGGGAGCACGGCCATGTCCTGTGTGCCTCTGTCAACTACCTGCGCACTGTCTCTCTCTATGTTTCCACTAATGCCTTGCTGGCCATCGCCATTGACAGGTGAGTGCAGGGGGGTGGGGGCAGCCAAAGTGGTCAGGGAGGAAGAGACACTGGAGTTGGCCCCTCCTTTCCTGCACTTGCAGGTTGATAAGAATGATCCATACTCCCCATGATGTGGATGCATGAGATTCCAAAGAGAGAACTTTACCAGCTTTGGTCAGGCAGGAAGCAGTGGAGCCCCCTACGGTTGTGCAGTAGAAAGGCTTTTGACCACTCTGCTGTGAGTCTGCTCCACGTGTTGTGCCTGTTTCAAGTCTGTAGTAGACAGGTAAGAGGGATATGGATACATAGGCAGTTACTTCTACAGTGAACTTGAAAATTTCAAGGGAAGTTTTTATCCCATTATGAATTTCACAGGAAGGCTGGGGAGATAGCTTAGTAGAATAAGCGCTTCCCTGGCAAGCACAGGGTCCTGAGTTCAATCCCCAGTACCTCAAAAAAAAAAAAAAAGTGAATTTCGCTACCAGGTTGTAAGGAGGGGAGGGAATTGAGGAAGAAGAGAAGAATCAAGATGTATATATTATGTACAGGTACAAATTCCATATGATAAACATGATCATTTTATATATATATATATATATATATCAATAAAATCAATTAAAAAGAATTTCTTTACCAATACATGCTCTCCTAATAATTGATTTTTAAACAAAATTTGCTTTTAAAAAACGCAAAAAGGGAACATAAGTTTGCTTGCTTGTTTTTGTATGAATCACTTTGCACCTTTATATCCATTTATATGCAACAGTGCAAAAGAACTGTTTCTAGTGGTGGTAAATAAAATCAGTGACAGCACCCTTTGTAAACCTTCCTTATAGTTATTTTTACATGGTATAAACTTATGTGAATGGGCCAAAATGGCTATTGTCCCTGGGAATAGTGTTTACATGCTTCTCTGCTTACTTTTCAAAAAGTCTTTCAGGATGAAGGCCCTCGCTGTGGTCCATAACCAGGTACCCTGAGGGTAGAATCAGACCTCTATGTACTAAGATCAGAACAGCCCAGACAGCTTGGTGCACTCCTGTTCTCTCTGCTATACAGCCTTGGGGCTCTGAGTGGTTCAATCTGGCCCGAGAAGTCAGGGCATCCTGAGTCAGTGTTCCAGAGAGGAGCACAGCTAGCAGAGCATGTTTTGGAAAGCTGGAGAGAAGTGGTAGAATAACCTCAGAAAGGGGGTCAGATGGAGTCTGGCATTAAAATCCATTGCTCCACTGTGGTGTAGAGTCACTGTCTCCTTTCCCTAGAGAAGGATGTTAAGGACTTTATCTGCCTAGGCAAGGACTCTGAGCAAGCCTGCAACCAGAGCACAAGGGCAAAGGTCAAGCAGAGGTTGTGCAGCCAAAGTTCCCAAGGAGGAGCTGCAGGGACGTGGTATCTGACCTTGCCTGAACATGGAAATCGCTTTTTCTCTCAATACACAAGCAGAACAGAGCATGTGGGGTCTTTCCCCGAAAGTGCATGCTATCAGGCCTTCTCAGGAGTCCACCAAGTCATGAAGGGTAAGGAAGGTAGGTAGGTGCTGTGTGGAGTGGGGCTCTACTCCTGAGGGGAAGTCTGTTAACTGTGCAGCGGCCCCCCTGGTCAACAGGGCTGATGACTGTAGGAGGGCTTCCAGGGGGAGGGTGTGAAGTAAGCTGAGGGGCACTGGTTTGTTTTTAATGTGTAATTCATGTAAACCAATCAAGCACATTCTGCTGAATTCCTTTCACTTTCATACCAAAGGCAACTTTCTTGAAATCCTGCAGACATCTCACTTGTGGTGTGAGTTTATGTACTGCACATTAAATGCACCAAGTATGAGCTGTGGTTGTTCAGGGAGGGGTTGTGACTGAAAACTTGTGCCCTAGCTTTGCAGGAAAACATGTGCACTGGCACCACACTGACCTTGGCTCTGGCTCACGAGCAGGCAGCTCTAATGCACTAGGTTTTTTTTATTTTTATTTTTTTATTAAATTGACGTGTGATCTTTGTTTCACATTATTTTATTTTAATGTGTTGTTGCCATCTAATTTCAATTTCCTGGTCTAGGAATCATTGATTTTTGTCTAGTCTCATGTGTTGTTCAGAATTTTACTGATGAGTTTCACGTTTGATTTGGTTAGCTTGAGAGAATGAAATTTTTTATCTTAGTCTATACCTATGATTGTAAAAAATGCCTCTAGGTTTTTTTTTAAAAAAATATTTTATTTATCTATTTGGTACAGAGTCTCACTATGCAGCTTGGACTCAGTGATCTTCTTGTCTCAGCCTCCTCAGCACTGGGATTACAGGTGTGTGCCACCACATCCAGTTTCAGTGGCTGGCATGGCATGCAGTACCAGAGATCAGCCCAAGTCCTTGCGCTTGCTAGGCAGGCACTTAGACTGCCGAACTATCTCCGCAGCCCAGTGCCTCTACTTTTGCTTAACGAAATTTCTCTAGGGATTGTATTAGCAGTTCCTGTTCCTAAGCTTGGATTTTTGCTGTACCATCTACACACTGTAGGGCCTTCTTTTAGTTATTTGACCTCTCTTTGCCTCAGTGTTCGCACGTATGAGATGTGGATAACGAGAAAACTTAATGTATTGCATTGCTGCTTTGAGAATTAAATGCAGTAGTATCTGCAATTGTTTAGAGCAATATTTGAGAAGAGTAAGCCCTAAATAGTAGACATTGTAGTTCTTAAATTAACCCTTAAAGGAACAAGGACAACAACCACCAAGCCGTATAAGTTGAATATTTCCCATTGGCTAGCCTCTTTAATTTCACTGAAACAATTGTTTCTATGACATACTAGAGAAAATCATAAAGTTATAAAAAAATAAAGCTATCAAAATGTAGCAGAAAAGAACTGCTTACCTGCTTCCTTCTTGGATTTTTGTTCCCACTGTTGCTTTTGTTGCTGTTGCCATCATCTAAACTGGAAGGTCTGTTTCATCCTGTCCTCTCTCTCATTCACTAGCACTCATTTAAGTGCCAGGTCCTGGTGAAACACCCTTGCCCCTACCTTTTTCTGCAGTGTCACAGTTTCCCTTTGGGCTTCCTGCATTTGGCATACTTTGGCTCTGCCCAGCTGTCAACCTTACTCCCCTCACTATCCACCCTGGACTGTCCTTCACACATATATTCATTCTAACAACCCTTATAGAGGAATACCATGTGACAGGGACTCTTTCAAGCGCTGGGGCTATAATACCAAGTGAGAGATATTTAAAAAGTTCTCTCCCTCATGGAGGTTATAAATGAGCATAAGAGATTATATTCAAGAGGACTGCAAGGCACACAGAAAAGGAAGGTGATTTCAGAAGTGACAAACACTGAGAACACAAGCACGCACCCTCAGAAGCTCTGAGAGTGACTGAGTGTGGTACCTGCTCTAGGTACCACTTCAAGATAAGTGTCTCTGAGGAGACATTTGAACCGACTTCTAAATGATGGCCAGGAGTCAGCCTCGGGAAGGTTGGGAGAAAGCTTTGGAGATAAGAGAATTATAAGCACAGAGGCCCCAAGGTAGGGAGAAACCTGATTGGTTCTAGGAACAGAAAGCAGGTCCCTTTGCCTTGGGGAAAGTAAGCAAGGCTGCAACCAAATTAGTCTCTGTCTTGGACACATCTCTGTGTCTTGGGTAAATGAGCCACAGTAACACCACTGTCTACAAAGCGCAGCTCAATGTCTTTCACTCTAACCTTATCTAGGCCCAGACTCCGGGTCTCATGCGGGTAATCACATTTGTGTCCTATTTTCCAACCCAGACTGTGATCTTTTTTGAGAACTGTCACCACAGCATTTTTTACATTTCTATTCACCTAGTGCCAGGTACTTGATGGGGATGAAGTTTTACTGAAATCCTACAAGGTGCCCCAAATTCATAGATAGAAAATAATAAACTAATTTAAGACAACTGCTGCTCTTGGAAGCTTACACTTTGGGGGTTAGGAGGGAGGGAGGGAGCTTACATGGATAAAAAGGTTTAAGACTAAGTGAAGGACAATTTTGGAATGAAATCTGGAGCAGGGTGAGATCATTGTGTATTGGGTGGTCAGAGGAGTCCTCGTGGAAGAGATTTGACTTTTAGGTTGGCCTTCAACAAATGAAGATCAGCAAAACAAAGCGAAGATTTTCCAAGAGGATGGAACACTGTTTATAAAAGCCTCAAGGGAGCCAGTGAGATAATTCAGCAGATTAAACTTGCTTAGGCAAGTTTAGGCAAGTGCAGTGATCACGGTTCAATCCTTGGCACCACATGCTGCACCGGCCCCACTCCTAGGGTGGGCTGAGCAGGCCAGAGTCCCCCTGGCACATGCCTATAATCCCAGTGCTGGGGTGGCTGAAAGCAGGAGGACCACCATGCACCCGAGATGCATGGTGAGACCCTGTAACAACCAAATACATAAAAACAAATAAATAAATTAAATAAAAAAATTAAAAACCTCAAGGTAGCAATATCTGAGGTGAAGAACTTTAGGGAGGAAAGCATTGCAGAGACAAAGAAATGGAAGGAGACCAGAGATCAGAAAAGATAGGGTCATATTCCAGAAGTTCTCAAAATCCAATAGAAGGAGAATGAGGAAGATCATAAAATACAATAAATGTCTAAATTAAAAAAAATAGGATAAAAAACACATTGCCAACAATAATCCTCAAAATACTCCCTTCTGGCCTCCAACACATATCCCATTGTTGTCGTTTTCTGGAGCGGCTCTAGAAGTTCTCATTTATGGAAATCTATAGTTGTACTGTTCCTGCCTTGATGTCCTGAATTGACTCAACCTATTGCCTTTCATGATTTTCTTGACCTTGGGGAAGACCCAGAAGTCAGGGCTGGTAAATAAGGTAGATGAAGACACTCTGTAACATTTTTATTTGACAGAAATTCCCTTAAATGTTTTGAATTTATTCAGGACACTGAGGCAGCCATGAAAAGATACTTATAAAAGGGGGCTTCCACATTGGCTCCAGAAAGTGGCAAGATAAATGGGATGATGAATGTGTTCAAGGCAAAAGGGATTATTTTCTGTGGGATTAATAGCAACCTGTCTTTTACTGTAATAGAGCTTTACAATTTTGAATTTAGACACTGTATTTTTTATCCTCCATGAGGTAACCTACTGGCAAAAGGGAAGTGAAAAATCTTTGCAAGAACTCTGTTCCAGGTTCATTCTTTGATGTGGAGACACTTTCATAGTCACTGAGGTGTATCTCAGGGGTGTCACAGCACTAGGATGCTCAGGGTGGGGCCCTCTCTTTTTTTTACCCATAATTCTGAGGTGATCCATCAGTCTGGAATCAGTTGGAGGATGCTTTCCTTTAGCTTTGTTGGGGTCCGCAAAGTTTTCAGTAGTAGATGTCCCCTGGTGAACCCATTCGTTGGGGCTGGCTGCCCCTAGAGAAGGTGGTACATGCTGCCCATCCCACAGCCACTCTTGTAGCTGCTGCAACTGCCATTTCCATGGCTGCATGGGGGCAGAGCCTGTGACAGAGAACGAGCCCACTGCTTCATTTACTCAAACCCAGTCCACCCACTATCACCACACATACTCAGCCCTGGAAATCTCTTTGTCCAGCAGCCTTTATTTCTTGTTCTCTGAGAACTGTTGGCCTTGGATAGATCTGGATCAAAGGCACTGTAGTCATAGACCCTTGGGACTAGCAAGGGTGTGGCGATAATTGGAGAAAAGTAGCTGCCACATGTCTGACCCTTTCATGGAAGGTCAGTAAGTAGAAATCAACTAGAAAGCAAAAAGAAGGTGGCAGTGGCAATGCTGAGAAGGAAGGAGGCAGAGAATTGTTTCACTTGCTGGAAAGGGAAGGGACAGATGGCATGTTGGAGAAGCCACTGGGTTTGCAACAAGATTGGTTTGAGTCATGGCTTTTTCAACTTCTGTGACAGAAGCTGTGTAGCTTTGGACATGTTGTTTACTTTTCTAAGCCTCAGCTTTCTCTTCTTGAAAATAGGACTCTTCACTTCCTTACCCACATAGTGGAGTTAGGATTATTTCATGCAACTGCAGATTTGAACAGTCTGTATAATTTATGAATTCTTTATAAACTATAAGTGACATTGCCAATACTAGAGCTCTGGGCTTCTGATCCTAGCTTAATCAAGGCTAATAGAAACTCCAAAAACAATTTGTTGTAACTTATCTGTAGGCAAATATATCAGAAAGACTTCTCGCACAGCATATGGTGCTAACCTCAGGTAAGGATTGGGGGTTTGGGGAGGGATGTCAGAGAGAGTCAAGAAGTCCCTTTGTCCGGCAGTCTGTAGTTCTTGTTCTCCGAGAACTGTTGGCTTTGAATGCATCTGGACTGAAGGCACTGTAGTCATAGCAGGGATGAAGCAGCCCTGCTAATTGCTTTGAAGTAAAGATTGGATTCAATAAAATAGAAAGCAGTAGAAGACTTGCGAATGCAGTACTTGCCAATAACAGGTAAAAGAACATTGCTGTGTAGACATAATAGCTCTGACAGTAGCATTTATAAATATCAGTCATTTCTGGAGTACTTTGTTGCTGTTTATACACCATAGCTCAGGGGAGTCTTATAGTATCCAGGTGACATTTCTATTTTATTCTTAAGAATTTAACCAACAATGTTAAGGAAAATGAGTCAAATTCATACAACAAGGTTGTTGCAGAGCAGAGTTGTTGATTGGGTTATTGCCTATGGATTCATGGAAATATATTGTAAAAGAAGGGAAGAGAAATATACAGTAAAAATACATATAGTGAACAAATATGAAGGTAGAAGTTTTCTTTGAGAGTGGCTAGCATAACTTTGGGGTGGATGGAGGGAAAATAAGCAATTGAGAACTCTTTTCATGAGGTGTCTGAGCACATTTAATGCACTGGTAACATCAGGAGCACCGTGGCCTTCCTGAGAGACCCCCTTCCCATGGGCAGAAGCATTACTAGCCTCTGCTGATATTCCCATTTCATTTTGCAGCACCATACAGTTGGCTGGAGTGCCAAAGGTGGATGCTGGTGGTCACTGTGGCAGGCAGGAAGCTCAGTGACCAGACAGTGGACTCAAACCAGCCAACTCCATCTGTCATCTTCCAGAAGCTGGGTCAAAGCTTTAGTAAACTCTCCAAATATATTCGGTTGTCTTGGTTGCTTGTGTTATGGGGAGGGATGGCAATGGCAGGAATGTAGTCACATATGCATGCACAGGAATGAACCTCTCTTCAGATCAAAACCCCAGGACAGATGACCTCAAGAGGATTGATTTCAGGGCACACAATTGCTTTGGCTTCCTATGAGGTGCCTGTCATGTTTGCACTCAGCCTTACCTGGGGCAACCTGTGGACACATGAGAATGTGTTTATTTCCAGTGTTGATACGTCATTCCTCTCCACTTCACATCCATCTTTCTCCTTCTCCAACTTCCACCCCCTGCCAGATGCGGAGAGCCTTCCAGGAAACCGGAGCTGTTTGCCTAAGTGTGCTCACTCTGGAATGGGTGCTGTCATCCCACACCAATGACTCACAGCTCCAAGGAAGTGCTCGCTCCTTCCTGGGGCACTGTGGTAACTGCCATGTGGGTTCTTTAGTAACGAATAGATGCAGTCACTTTTATCATCGGATGCTTTGTGGTTACAAAAAAATATGTTCATGTATCTTCTCAATTGATTTTTCACATCAACCCTGAAGGTGAAGTTAAGTGTTTTCTGTCAAGGGCATTGTGGTATACAACCTGAAGAGTCAGTCATCTCTCCTCAGCCTCTTTCTTCTTTACACCTGACAAATGAGATAAAAGACCACATGCTTCCCCCCCCCCCCACATTGCTGAGCAGTATTCTTAAAAATATGGAGTAACTGCCATAGACAGACAAACTGCCCAGAGCTTCCTTGGAAAATGGCTGTTCCTACCAGAACCTCTTTGGAGATTCCAGGTTGATTTAGCCCTAAACTTAAGGTATTTTTCAGAACAGACCTAGGAATTATGACAGGCTAGAAGCTGATATGAAGTATTATTACTAATTCAATAATTTTTTGCCAGTTTTTGGTAGACAGTAGCTTTAAAAGTTTTCCAAAAGCAGTGCTTATTTCTTAAAAATGAGCAAAAATCTCTTGCAAGAAAACAAATTGAGGTTTAGAGAGATTAAGTGAACTCACCAGAGGTTACCTACCTAGTCACGGGTGGAGATGGAGTTTGCATTCAAGTCTGCCTTTATAGAAAGTTCATGCTTCATTGGGCTTTCTCTCATGTATAATTTGCTTCTCATCATGATACCAAAATGAAACTCTTGTCTAGTATCTGTTCCTCTCACTGCATTTGCACTCTTGTCCCAGGTATTTGGTCATTGTCCACCCGCTGAGACCACGGATGAAGTGTAAAACAGCCACTGGCCTGATTGCCTTGGTATGGACGGTGTCTATCCTCATTGCTATCCCTTCGGCTTACTTCACCACCGAAACTATCCTCATTATTGTTGAGACCCAGGAGAAGATCTTTTGTGGCCAGATCTGGCCAGTGGACCAGCAGCTCTACTACAAGTCCTATTTCCTTTTCATCTTTGGCATCGAGTTTGTGGGTCCTGTGGTCACCATGACCCTGTGCTATGCCAGGATCTCCCGGGAGCTCTGGTTCAAGGAGGTCCCTGGGTTCCAGACTGAGCAGATCCGCAAGCGGCTGCGCTGCCGCAGGAAGACGGTGCTGGTCCTCATGGGCATCCTCACAGCTTATGTGCTGTGCTGGGCACCCTTCTATGGCTTCACCATTGTGCGTGACTTCTTCCCTACAGTGTTTGTGAAGGAGAAACACTACCTCACCGCCTTCTACATCGTTGAGTGCATCGCCATGAGCAACAGCATGATCAACACATTGTGCTTCGTGACCTTCAAGAACAACACCATCAAGTACTTCAAGAAGATCATGCTGCTTCACTGGAAGTCTTCTTACCTTGGGAGCAAGTCAAGTGCTGACCTTGACCTCAAAACCACTGGGATGCCTGCCACAGAAGAGGTAGACTGCATCAGACTAAAATAACCTCAACTGACCTTGCAAAATGGAAACAGAAGATGAGATCTTTGGGACACCAACTAAAGATGTGCTTGGGTAGTGCCTCAATCAAGAACCCTCACAACCATGGGAACATCGTGTCCAATGATCTTGAAATTTCTAAAACAAATGAGACTAGATGCTGTCAGTAGCAGTTATTATTCATTGAATGCCTAACTTGTGCAAAGAGTAGCACTGATGAAACCTAGCGTGTTGGTGAGAGATAATTCACAAAGCAGGGGTTAAACCAGGTCAAGTGTGATGCAGACTGGACAAGGAGGCTTCCACATGGAGGCCAGAGAACTTTTGTTTGGAGTGTGAGAACATCTTTGGGTCATCTCAGCTACTCACCACACATTGATCTCATTCATTTCTGGGAGGACCCTTAGGCTTAAATCCACGCCTACCATTCACAAGGTTGGGCCAAGAAGGCAAAAGAGGTTCCTGACTCTTTCTGAAGCCCTTCACTTCTCATCGCTGGTCTGATCCTCACTCTGAATAGCTTTGCATGCAAGCACAGTGTCACTCCATGTTTTGTGGCCAAGTCTGCACCCCCAAAAAACTTTCCTAAGTTATACCCTTGTCCCCACTCCCAAGCCCAGGACTTCACACATCTGTTCCTTTGGCTTTGTGAACTATCACCCCACAGGAAGGAGGTATAGGTGAGGAGAATCAAAATACATGGTGCGAGGCTCAGTTTCTCTGGGTTTAAGGATGACATTGCTTTACCTCTGCTATTCTGGCTTGGACCAGTAGGCTTCCCTTTAAGTCCTTTCCTTTCTTCTCCTGTCTTTATGCATATGATGTGGGGAAACTTTGAATATAGTCACGTGGATGTGGCTATCAGACATTTTCTCACTCTTTTGTCCAGCTCTCAAGTAGCAGAGCAAGAGCTCCTCCTGAACTCTTGCTGATGAGGTACTCTCACCACTGTGACTGGAACGCAGGGTGTGTTTGTCACAGTGCCTGAATCTCATCCTAGTCATGATTCCGTCAGTTGAGACTCACTGCTCTTATATGTTGAAAGCATTCTTGGGAAGCACAGGCCATTCCATTTCTGTTTCTCAGTGTGAAGTCAAGGGCTCCAGGCAGGTGATGTAGCTCAGTGTTAGAGCTCTGTGTATCAGAGAGGAAGAAGAATATGGATTGCTGGGGGCAGGACCAACAGTGAACTGTGGTGGTCCCACCAGGTTACTGAAGCCTCATCCCACTTTTTAACCCGCCTCTTTCATTTGATGTTTTGAGTTTGGAATTTAAGACCCAGAAGATCTAAAAGCCAGCCTTGGCATTTGTGTAATATGGCCCTTGGAAAACTTCTCTGAGACAAAGACAATACACATAGTACTTATCTGTGCTGGCTGTGGAAGCAAATAAAATAATGTGTGATAAAATGCTTTCAGCTACAGAAGTAGTCAAAAATATGTATTATTAACTGTGAAAAGTGCCTGGACAAAGATGTACTTACTACCTTGGTGTCTGTAGCCAAAATCTTGCCATTGTCGGCTTTTATTTTTCAATCAGTGAGTTATCTTCCCCTATTCTTCTTAGCAGCGTGGCATATATTCTATTCCCAATGGCATGTGGTACAAACAAAGCTGTGAAATTTGATGATAGAGTGGAAAGGATGTGGCAGATGAGTCTCCTGTCGGGAGATGAGTCAAGGATTTGAAAACTCCAGCATCAGAGTATCTTTGGGATCTCAGAAGTACTAACCACCTTCCCCTATGTTTCCCCAGCCAATATGAATCTGAACAAAATAATAGAGTTTCCCAGTCTGCTTGTATTCCAATAAGCATGGAGAGCTACAGAGTGACTTGGCTCTACTTATTTAATTCAAGAGCAGGACTTATATAAGGCTAAGTGATTACTGTGTAATAGTTACCCTTTGTATATAGTCAACTCCAGATTGTTTGACAGCAAAATTTATTTTTTATTGTTTATTTCCCTAGAAGACACACTTTCAAAGACGTACCTATTTCTTTTCCTATTGCTTTTTGGTATTCAAAAGACCCTATAATTTGTTTAAAATTCTCTGAAAGACTAAAAATCAATTAAAGTATTAACCTAAATCAAATACACATTGGAGAACAATTCTTATATTTTAAGGAAAATTGTACAATATATTCTAAGATCACTTGTTTTTGGATTAAAAGTCAGAAAGTTATACAATTTATTGGGATTATATTAATCATTTCTGTGAAGACTGCTAAACAAGAGTTGATTATGCCAATCTTATTATTTTTTTTTATACATGACAAAACTCCATCTTGCTTTTTAAGCTAAAATGTATTTTTACTTGTTTGTGTGTGATTTCTAGATATTATTGTCTGTTTGTGATTTTATGTCTGCTTGTGATTTTATAGCAAACAAAACTGTGTTGTTACCAAGTAAAATAAAAAGAGATGTACATACATAGATGGTCATTGGCTGTCCTGTTCTATTGCTCTGTACCTCCCCCATCCTTTTCCTGGTTCTAGCATGATCATTCTTTCAGTAAAGATTGAATAGATTCCACCATCATGTAGATGGTGAGGCAGAGCTATCTCATGCTCTTGATGCTTACGAATTTCCCCATCCTGAAGTGATCTATAGACCTTTGCAGATCTTTCTCTTTTAAACCGACTCTGATAATATCACTGTTACCATTTAGCATCTAAATGCCAAGATTGGAATCCGAGGACTCGCTTATGCCACGGGCATAAGATACGGTGTCTTAGTTGAACAGGCTTCATGGCTAGATGTGCAAAGTGAATAAGGCAACCCTACAATGCCATGCCACTTTCAAGTTCATTGCACTGGCTGCACAGTTGGTAGCATTGCCACAAACTGGTGGCAAGCCCAACGAGGTGACATTTATGATTTTATATTTCTTTCTGTTTTCTAAATACTTCCAATGTGCAGCAAATAGACATAATTTTCTAAGATCAAATTATTTCCATAACTAAAATAAAAGAGGAGCTTTTTAATATATTTACAAACAATTTGTACGTATTTAAAAATAATTGCTTAAATCAAAAACACCCAAAGAAGGAAATGCGGTGGTCACCTCAGAACACTGTCAAGCATGAAACAAGTTCCATACTTTTAATGAGGAAGAGTGCTAGAGAATTTGTAGGATGACCAGAAAATTATAAACACAAGTCTTATTTCTTGAAAAATATGACATATTTTGGAATGCATCCATAGAGTGAGTCCAATTCTCCTTCTCGGAGTGTGAGAGTGTCAAATTCAAAACATTCATTTTACGGTTGATGAAATTAAAATCTTGAAGTGGGGAGAAGTATGCTCAAGGTCCCACGGCTGGTCACTGTGGCTGCCAGGTGAGATCTCAGGGCTCCTGGAGCATAGAGCAGTATTCTTGCAGCATGGTACTCCCAGTACAGGGAGCACCACCCCCATGGAAAAGGGAGGACCCTTTCCAAGAATCCTTGCAGTGACTGTTGAGCCCTACCTAGCCTGGCCTGCTCCAGAGACCCTTTAAGAGCTTTGCAGAGACATTCCTGGCTCTTTTAGAAGCCAAGTTTAGCTCATTCTACCCCTGGAACCTCACAGCTCAGACACAGAGGCCAGGAGGTGCTAAGAAAGCACACCTCAGATGTAGAATTCAGCTTTCTTACCTTGCTGAGTTAGAGGTCCCTGGGAATGTAAAAGAGAAAAAGTAGGCTCCTGCTCCAGAACTGCTTTCTGGGAAGCAGAAGAGAGAGATAAAGAGGCCAGACTGAGCTGAGTATCCAGAGTGGTCAGCAGACCCTATCTGCCAAAGTTTGGAGACATCAGAGGGCTTCCTCTTTCCTCTGCCAATGAAAACAAAAGACATAAGGGAAGTCTGGGGTGAAGTGGAACTTGGACTGGAACGGTGTGGTGCAGAGAAGTAGAAAGATGATCATTCCAGTGGGAAGAGAAGCATTTTTGTTATGTGTTCCTGGACACTGCAATTGCTTTTCCCTGGAAACAAAGTCTTGTCACACAGTGATAGGGTCATCATCCTGGGAGAGGTAACCACAAATACTGAAAAGCACAGAGACCTAAGTAAGAAGTGTCAAAGCCTCCTCTGAGGGTAGGCTTGGCTAGGAGGGGAAGGTGTGCAGAAAAGAGAAATCTGCTTGAGTGAGAGGACCATGAGAAAGGTCTTGATGACGGGTAAGGAGGACATCACAGAACAAAGGAAGGGAAGAGATGCGCAGGGATGGTGGCTGGAAACAAGCACAGCTGCTGGCTTCTACACCGGTGCAGCTTAGCAGCCACTGAGGGGCAGGCTGAGTGGAGCATGTCACGGGACATGCCTCGGTCTCACACAACCTGTGAGTCAGGAATGCATAGCCAGCCCGTTTTACAGATGAGGACGCAATGTCTAAGCTCAGTGAAGTTGTTCACAGTGAGCCAGCGTGCTGAGATTTGAAACCAAGCATATGGTCCCAGAGCTTGTCTTTTTAGTCATTCTGTGTGAAAGCCTTTTAGTGATTTTTTCTGGAGTGTGATCACTGAGTGATGATAAAGCATCTCCCAAATTAACCAGATTTTCTAAAACAACAGTTCAGCACAACTCCCATGTTCCTCCCTTCTTGGGGAACTTTTATTAAATCTCAATAGATGCATTTTAGACAGAATTCTTACAGCCAAGGTCTTGGGTACTTCTGACACCTAGAAAAGTTTAGAGCCTCTTCTTAAAAAATAGTTTCAAGTTTATACAATGAAATACATAGAAATACAAAAGAAATTAATAATACTGAAATGCAGTCATCAAAATATGTTAAAATCTATGGTATAATTAGGTCAACCTTTCTTTATAGTAACCTCTCTTTGTAGTGAATCATTACTGCATTAAGGGAGAAGGTTAACACCAGGATACATAGCTACCACAATTTTAAATTAATAATTAATATGAATATTTTGAGGTTGCTCAACAAATTTCAATGGGGTATAAAGCATCCGTGATTTCTAACTCAGAGACAGTTGCAGGGACTGCTAATACTAGTGAGGTGTTGTTGTTATTGTTGTTGTTTTGCCTGCTTCATAATGACAAGAAATACTAATGCATGATAAACAGACCAGTGAAAATAATGCTTTTTCCCCCATCCAAGTTCGTAACCCCCTGACCTGGTTAAGAACCCCTGTCCTAGAGGAGGCCAAAAAGAGCACTCTGGGGCGGGCACAGGTAGAAATGAAGACGGCAGGAAGGAGGAGGGACACAAAACTAAATGGAATTAAAGGAGTAGATCGCAGGACACTTTTTCTGTAAAGAGGCCCCAGAGGACATTGTGGTTCACCACTCCTCTATCCCTGGGTCTGTCAGTGGCCCTGGTTCTGATCTGAGTGGCAAAGATTCACACCCGGAGCCAGGAAGGCTCTCCTTTTAGCCTAAATGTCAAGGCTTTATCACACAACTACTCAACAAACATTTATTGCCTTATACTCTGATATTACAAATGGGATGCGGCATTCTGCCAACTCATGTCCCTGAATGATTGGTTTCAAGGAGAGAGAGTATTTTGGTTGCTGGGAAGCACAAGAAGACTTCTCCATAAAAACGGTACTGTACATTAATTTACCAAATTGATTATTCTCTCCTTTGTCATTTCCTGCTCCTACATGAATGCTTTGTTTCTGCACTTTTAATTTTATGGGCCTTTTGATATCTTGAGTTGAATATACACTTCTTTTATTTTAATTTTATTTATTTTTGGGGTTTTTTTGGTTTGTTTGTTTGTTGTTTTTTGGTACAGGTTCTCGCTATGCAGCTTGGACTCGGAGTGATCCTCTTGCTTTCTGCCTTCCTGGTGCTGGGATTACAGGCGTGCGCCCCCACACCCAGACTCCTTCACTGGCTCAGCGCACCCAGGGGCAGGGCCAGCATGGCATGCGGTGCCAGAGATCAAACCCCGGCCCTGCACATATCTAAGGAAGTGCTTAGTCCTCTGAGCTATACCACCGGCCCTTTAATTTTATTTTTTTTTTCTCGTATCTTAAGTGAGAGGGCATGTTTTCCCTTGAGTGTTTTCTCTTTCAGTTGGGCATTTAGAATTTCTTTAGCTTTAAAGTATTCCTATTTATTCCACTCCCCCCTTTCTCTAGAGAACCCTAGCCAATACAAGGAAAAAAAAAGGATCTAGGAATGGGAAGACAGAAAGAATATTCAAAGATAAAGAATAAATTTTAAGTGGCTGGGAAGTTTAATTTCCTTCAAATACCTGACGTTCTGTTTTTAGAAAAATTTTATTTTAGACTCAAGATTACATGTCCCACTCTTGCTGCTATGGGTGATCATGTGGCCAAGTACCTATCAGTAATGCCTAAGAGGAAACTTCTCTAAAAAGAAAGAGAGAAAAAGAAACTTCCTTTCTCTTTTTCTTCTAAAGTCTTGCTACTTAAGGCATGGATGCAGTGACTGGAGCTCTAGCCACTACCTTAGAAAATGAAAATAAAGCTTGCACCATATAGACTGTGGCCTAGAGAGTAGGACAGGAGAAGAACCCAGGAAACCCTGTGGAGTCATAGGCCTTGGACTGACTGTCTCCAAATTTCTTCCATGTGAGATTTTTTAAAAAAGCTTCTATCTCCTTTAAGTCTCTTTTTAAGTAGTTCTGTTGCTAGCTGCCACCCGAGGAGAAGTGCCCTAAGTGAACCCCCATGCTGGCTCCATATCATAGAGCTTTAACTACATTTGATCTCTGACAAAATCTTCATCTTTTCACCCACAGTTCTATCTTCAAGCCATGAGTGAGGTATCAGTATTTTCCAAGATAGTAGAAACTTAATAAAAGTCTATCTGAACAACACTAGTTGAAATTTTACCACACTGATGAAGACTTTTTAAAACATAATGTCAAGGTACATTCGCTTTACCGTAGGCATGTTTTTCTTTATTTAGGAAGAAAAATTAGGGACCGGGGAGATGGCTCAGTAGAATAAGATCTTGCCTGGCAAGTGCAAGAGACTGAGTTCAATCCCCGATTCCACACACACACACACACACACAAAAAAAAAAAAAAAAAAAAAAAGAAAGAAAGAAAAAAGAAAAGAAAATGAAAAAGAAAAATAACCTAAATTTCCTTTTTTAAAAATTTAATTTAAAAAAGTTTAATTTAAAATTTTTTATTTTTATTTACTTATTTATTTTTTGTATTTTAGGGAAGGGTCTACAGGGTGTCCAGGGTCTCACTACTAGATCAGACTCATAGTGATCTGCCTATTTACAGCCTCCCAAGAGCTGGGATTATAGGTGTGGGCTGCCACCAGGCCCAGTCTCAATTGCTGTCTCAGCATATCCCGGGGGTTGGGCTGGCACAGCAGACCCA